GAGGGCAGCACAGGTGTGTGTCTCGGGGGAGGGAGAGGCAGCAGGTTCACTTGTTAAAGGTGGAGGAAATACCACTAACCTTCCCTGGACAGCTTCGGGTGTCCCAGCACAAATACCATCATGTGTATATGTGTATGTATACTGTTAATATACACAAATGTATACCTGAATGTTACAGTAAGTGCCTTTACGTTAAGTCTCTGATACAGGAAGACACAAAGTTATGCACACGCACATATACCCACACACACACAAGCTCACTCGAACACACACACACACACTGAAACCCAGCGAGGTTTTTATGCCAGTTTTTGTCCTCCAGCGGCTACAATTAGAACCAGCAGGTTTTTACGAGAGCTGGCTGGCCACTGAACCGTGACTCGGGAAGCTGCTGCTGGTGGTGCCGTGGTCCTCCCCGTCAGGTTAAGTACACCCAGGTTTACAGACTCAACATAGATGCCTTGTCCAGCAGGATATGGGTGCACGGTAGGACATAACAGGCGGGTGGGCGGGCGGGCGGATGTAAAAACGGGCGGGGCGGGGCGGGGCGGATGGACGGACAGACATAACCAGAATGGACTAACATCCTATTCTAAACATGTTATCAGTAACTGTCAAATTATCACCAAGGCGCCGAGTAACGCTACAGAATAACACTTCTCTCTCGTAATAAAACCAATTACAAGTGATACCGAGGCGAAAAGAAGAAGCCAAGGCAAATTACTGTCCATATTTAATCACAGTCAATTATTATCCGAAATAAAAACAGTTTCTGAGGCAAATAATTGGCTGCAATTTACATGATCGGTAAATTGTTAGGTGGGGAGAGAAACCACTACTGGTTAGAAAGGTAAATAACAGGTGAGAGCCACACACAGGTGAACTAATATACTGTACAACGCCACAGCCTAGCCTTATCAACATACCTGAAAATACTTTCCGGTTTAATATACAATGTATGAGATTCAGTCTGTATTCAAGTGAATTATAAAACCGCAAAATAATAAAATGGAAGAAAAAAGACCTTATGAAATCAATATAGTCAGGTAAGGTAAGTTCAGGTCAGGTAAGGTAAGTTAAGTTCAGGTCAGGTCAGGTAAGGTAAGGTAATTTACGGTTAGGTTAGATCAAATCGCATAAAACAGATGATCGCCCAAGTGGGATATAATCAAGCCACACACCTCACAAGCAACACCTAGACATCAGGAAGGCTCACAAAGAAGGTGTATTTAACTGATGCATTTAAACTCTGTTGAATGACCCGCGAGTAATACTGTGTTAACTGCGGCTAACTGGTACCTGTGGGATAGGTAATGACCCGCCCCTCCACAAGGCTTCACCGCCGGCAGGAGAGTAGACCGGCTTATAAAGTCTCTCGGATGTGTACCACAGCAATAGTTAAAACGGATACAGGCTCAGCTGCTAAAGGATCTTGATTACATGGTATTCTGATAATTCCCTGAGATGCTTGACGATTTAAGCTAACCTAACCTAAGCAAACCTAAATTAACCTAAACTAAACTAACTTAACCTAACTGAACCTATCCTAATCTAGCATAATCTGAGAGAGAGAGATTTTGAATAACAAAAGAAAAAATATATACATAAGCAAAGATAATTCTGTTGTGGTTCAGGGATGAGCTGCAGGTGCCAGGGTGTGTGTGAGGTGCTGTAGGGTGTGTGAGGAGGTGCTGTAGGGTGTGTGAGGAGGTGCTGTAGTACATAAACGTTCCACCGTCAGGAGTCGAAGGGTACAACACGTTCCTACCCGCTTGAAGGCCTGGGCGGGGGACCACGGCGCCATTACTAACCAGTCCAGAAGGTATAGACGGGTACCTTACCTTACCTAACCTAACCTAACCTAACCTAACCTAACCTAACCACACCCAACCTAACCTAACCTAACCTAACCCTACCCAACCTAACCTAACCTAATCTAATTTAACATAAGTGACTACTACAGTAAACTCTCATGGTACAGTCCCCTTCACTAGTGCGTTTACAGGGGCTCGTCATATAAACATTCCACAAATAATTATCATTGAGATATTCGTTTCACTATTGTTTTACTTTGATTCCATATTATGTTTACTATTGCGAATTTCCATCTGTTGAATGTAAACAAACACAGGGCTGCCACACTGCACCAAACCTGACGAGCCCCTGTAAACGCACTAGTGAAGGGGACTTTATGTGAATACAGGTAACGTATACACAACAGTCTTATACAGATTATGGGTGAATATCGCGTGGCTGTTTGGATTACAACAACAATTACCCCATTTGTTGATGTGTGAGGTCTCCCACGTAAAGATGGGTCCATTTTAATAGTAGTGAACTATTAGATTAGGTTAGGTTAGGTTAGGTAGGTTAGGTTAGGTTGAGAAAACACTAAATGCTCTCGTGATCACCTGAATACACTTAACATTAACTCCTACCTTAAATTGACATAATCTCGATAAAATGAAAAAAAAAATGAAATTCTCAAAGTAACATTACAAATAAGTTACTACACAAGAATATAAATACATCATGAACTAAAGTAATATTCCTAAATGAAATACAAAAAGTAATATAAAAGAAGACTGACAATGATCTGAACGAGAGGTCTGTGTAGTCATCCCTCCACATAGATGACCTGTGAAACGTAACACTAAATTTTAATGCCATCCGCGAACCATTACAGAGAGACACACAGACAGACAGAACGACAGACAGACAGAACGACAGACAGACAGACAGACAGAAGTGCATTGTGTCATTACAGTAGCGGATATAAAAACAGCGATAAGGTAATTCTAGAAGACTGAAATTATAGTATTATAGGCTGTAGCGTTAACTGTGTGTGTGTGTGTGTGTGTACGTGTGTGTGCGTATACGTGTGTGTGTGTGTGTGTGTGTGTGTGTGTGTGTGTGTGTGTGTGTGTGTGTGTGTGAGTGTGTGTGAGTGTGTGTGTGTGAACGTGTGTGTGTGTGTGTACGTGTGTGTGCGTATACGTGTGTGTGTGTGTGTGTGTGTATCAAGTTCGGTGATTATTTCATGTTGGGAACAGTAAAAATGACCACTGATGAAAAAACTGCGGAAATAAAAATGATAAAGAGATGAAAAACACTGAACAAAGACAAGACTTGTTCTGACGTTCATGCCGGAACAACGGAGAAAAACGACAATGTGGACAAAAAAAACAAAAAATCATTAAAAAACAATAACCAAAAAATACCCAGATATGAATATAAAGTGTATGTATGTATGTATGTATGTATGTATGTATGTATGTATGTATGTATGTAGCCACAGTTAATTTTATCACAACCTCCTCTTTTAAATAAGTTAATGATTAAAACCATTGTGTGTGTTAGTCCCCGCATCACTTCACCAGATGATGAAGGAGACTCCCCACACGCGACACAGGACCCATAATCGTCAAGGCCTTATAGTATATACCTCCCCTGGACAAACCACACATCAACATCGTGTTTAAAAGAAAATGGTCAAAACATCATCTCTAAACTGGGTGTCAAATGATGCCAAATTACCACAATTACCACATTCCTCCTCAGACCTTCCGTAATTTTTTTTGGGGGGTAGATTACTGGCCAATATAAATTAGATTAAGAGGTAATTAACCCAAAGTTTATCTATATGTCTGTTTGAAGATTTATATAATTATGTCTGTACAGGTGAAATGTCCCTAGTAAATGAATTGATATATTTCAGAATAATAAACCAAAGACTGTGTAGTATTGGTTCTGATTCTTGGTAAATGGTTAAGAAAGATATATACAGTATATATAAACTAATATAAGTTTGTCTGGAGTGTTAGGGGGAAGGCATCGTTGGCTGTACACCTCAAGCCTTTAAGATTGTCCCAGTTTGTTTTTTATTTATTTTTTTGCATTATTCTTTGATTAATAGAAAATGGTGAAAATTCCATAGACTATAGTACGACACAAACAGCACCACCGTTTATAGAGTTTACAGATATATCTCTGTATCCAGCTCTATGTACCCACTGTACTGTAGTATATATTAACGGCTTGAATTACGGGACAAAAATTAAACTGAACTTGGCTTTTTTTTTTACCGACCAAAAATATACAAATTTCGTATATATTTGTATGGGGAATAAAATGGTATATTTTTTGCCATTGAAGATCTTGTTTTATCTAAATCTGACTAAACAGCATCTAGAAAATATAGCTTCGCCATCCAATTGTTTATCTTGTGAGAGTTAAGACCAAAATATAAGATAAATAATTTTCAACTTCTCGTAAGCCTCAGAAAAATTGCACACACAAAAAAAAAGTTCTGGGAGAGGCATCATAAGCCCCAGACCCTTGGTAAAACTTTAATATGTTGACAAAAATAATTACAATGAAGTGGAGATTTGTTATGCCAGCAACAAAGGCGGTAATGTCACTCCGTATAAAGAATATAACATTGGTTAACGACCTCTGAAACTTATCAAAATATTATGGTAAAAAATGGGTTACATAGAATTCAAAATTAAAAAAGTTACATATTTTTTTCCTGGATAAAAGTAATCTAAATACTGTACACATATTAATACACATTCAAGGTAAGAAGAGTCGAATATTTTTGACGAAGACTTCTACATCTGCTGTGGAGTTAAATAAGTTATATTATTGGTGTAATGTTATATATTGACAAAAACATTAACAAATGTGAAAAGCTTTGTCGCCTGTCGAAGGATTTAGCACATGCAAAATAATAATACTGTCATATGTCAAAAGTTTGTATCAGTTGTCGTGGTAATGTTACCTGTCAAAGTCTTCGTTACCTGACACAGAGTGTCACCCCGAGTCGAAGGTTTTACCTGTTGTTAAAAGTCTCATTGTCAGTCAATATCTTCAGAAACGGTCAAAAGCTTCAGCACTTGTCAGAAGGTTGGTGGTCTCAACTGTGTGTGTGTGTGGCGGGTCAGCTCCCTGGTCATGAGGAACAAAAAGCAGTGTTGGGAACATACTGTTGTACTCACGCGTGCCGTTGAGGTTACGCGAGAGGATCTTGTTGCCGTGGGAGACGTAGCCGAGGAGCGGGTGGTGGAGTGGAGGCTGCTGCTGCTGTGGGCCCTGCTGGGGTCCCTGTTGGGGACCCTGCGGTTGTTGCGGGTTAGACGGTCCCGGTACGGGCATAGCGGGGGTCACCGCGCCCACAGACACGCCGCCGCCCACTGGTAGAGAAGTGGAGGACGGGGGAACTATGCCACCCGAGGGGGGACCGACCACCGAGGGGGGGATGATTGGGATGGGCCCCCCGCTTGCAGAACCTCCGGACCCCGAGCGATCTGACGACGCAGAGACTGGGGGTGCGGGTGTGGGCGTGGAAGGTGGCGCGGGCGTGGTGGGCGCCGAATGGGTGGCGGTAGACGCGGGCGGGTATTGGTTGTCGCTCAGGCCGGACATGTGTGGGCGTAGGTGGCTGTCAGGGAGCGGTGGGTGGGGCGGGTGGTGCAGCAGGTGGGCGGGCTCTGCTTTGATGGGCACCAGTGTGTTGCTCGGGTAGGCGGCACACCTGTTACTCTCAGAGGTGGGCGGCACCACAGGCTCAGCTGTGTGGGCGGAGCGCGAGGTGGGTGGTACGAGCAGCATGGATGGGCTGGGGGGTCACATGATGGGCGGGAGCAAATATGGGCGGCAGGGAGGGCGGCGGCAGCAGCCAGGTGGGCGGCCCCGACCAGCTGAGGACGAGTCACCCCAGCACCAACACCTGTAACACAAGACAACACTTTAGTGGCCAGTCAGCAACACTACAGTATAAAGTATTGCTGCAGTACTTGACCTCCTGCAACACTATACAAACACACACCTACACTAAAGTATATATATCTTTGCAATATAAATTATCATCATTATTATTAGTAGTATGAACAGTTTCCTTTATTACTCTGTTGCCACACACACACACACACACACACACACACACACACACACACATGTACGGTGTTATTATATATGTAAATCTCATTAGTGTACTGGTTACGCAACATTCATTAATCAAAAAACACTAGGCACCTGTACACTCAGGTAAACACAGTATCAGCACTAAAAGGTCTGGACGCTCAACGAATTATAATATAAAATGAAAAAATAAAATAAAATCATCTTAATCATATGCAAAAAGTATATTTTTGTGATGGACCAGAGAAGGTAAAGTCTTGTTGTGTCCTATAAACATCCCTATCGGCCCCCCTTGTCCCCGTCACGAGCAAGGGCGTAACATCACACCTGGAGGCGACGAGGGATTGACCTGTACAGCATTACACAGGTGAGCCGGGCGTCACACGTGTAGGTCGAGACAGAACAGGTGTATCGCCTCCTATGGTCTGGGTATATTGGAGAACCAGTGGTGATATAGTGCTGATTCGGGTAGCAATCAACCAGTCAATGGGGACTTGAACTCTGGACCGATAGATGAAAATAAAAGACGAAGACAAGAGAAAATATTTTACAAACTTTATTAAGATCTCTTTTGTCTCTTCTCATCCACGAGTTAAAAAAATAAATTCTACTTTTATCTTCAACATCCAAGTCAGATGAGATGAAGAAATTAAAAGGTGGATAATTAAAAAGAAAAGAAAAATGGTGAAGAGAAAGAAAAGAAGGAATTTTACAAACTTTTCTCTTGCGTTTAGAAATAAAAAGAAAAATTTCGAGGGTTTTTGTCTGAGGTAGAGAGAGGCTGTTATACACTTCATCCATCACGGGTCACGAAGATGGAGCACGTGCCTTCAATATGATTAATTATCTAGAGAGGCGGCGGTGGCGAATGGCGGCAGCGGCGAATGACGGCGGCGGTGGTAACGACGGCGGGACACTCCTGACCAACAAACACAACCCCAAAATGAAGAAAAAAATGTCCGCCATTTTACCATTCCTCTAAAAACGTCCCCCAAAAATGACAGGGTTTTGCGGCTTAAAATGGCCCTAGAAAACTCTTCTATATATATATATATATGAAGGAAAAAATAAATATATAAAATAAAAAAAAATTGCTTTGTGGCTTAAAAACAAACCAAGAAAAAGTCCTTCGAAAAATGTGTCGTGGTTTAAAAATGGCGCGAGAGAATGTCACAGTAAAAGGGTTTTCGCGGGTTAAAAATTTTGGCGGAAAAAAAAAAAAGGTTTGAGGAAAAAAAATATAAAGGAGAGATGAGTCAACGTGTGTGTGATGACGGCCAGAGGAAACACCTGTCCACTGTCTCCTGAACAACACCTGTACATCACCTGGGTAACACCTGTACAACATCACCTGGTTAACACCTGCATAATTGATCAACAGTAACCTACCCTATCCCTCCCCCCCCTCCTCAGCAACACCCCCCTCCCTCCTCCCGGTGACACACCCCCTCCCCCAGGTGAGACAGATGGACATATGATTAAGTATTTACGTCAGCTGTTCACACCTATGTAACTAATCCAGTTAATTATATCAAACGCCAGTGAAATATCTTAATTAAATACCAAAGATCAATAAAAAATATAAGTATCTAATCAGACTTAATTATTAACAACACCTAAATTATCTTAACTAGATTAATTACAAGCCACCAATTACTATCTTATCATTAAAACCTTACCTTACCCATTAAAAAAACAAATTCAATTATCAAACAACGAACAAATTAACTCATCTATCTAATTAACCAAACTGTCCAAGATATCTAATTCAACTAATTACTAACTAAACTTTTCACCAATGGTATAAACGAACTAATTCATCTGATTATTGAAGACAGCCAAAAAAAAAATAATTAAAAAATCATTCGACTTTTTTTTTCGTACCGGGACCGACGCTTCTCACTGTACTAGATACTATACTAATAAATTGCGTCATGGGAAAAAAACTACGATATATTTCTAAGTATTTTATGTTCGGATCCCAGGCGAGGGTGATTCCATTATCCTGGGGGAAATCATAGGGGAAAATCTAAGTTCACGAGGGATTTTAGGGGACATAAGGGAGAATTTTAGGGGAATTACTAGGGATTTTAGGGAAATTTCAAATATATCTCACAGGTCGCCAACACGAGTAGTACCGAGACGTGTGTAATGTCATATAAATCATTATAAAATATCTCGAACATAAACCTGATCTTGTACGCCTATGTATAGGTATTTGGAAAACTTTATATAACCCGGATTTTGATCATTTTTCCAGGGTAGAGAAAATTCCATGCAGGTCATGTGGGAAGTTGACATGACAACACACAGTCTACGCCCTACGCCCACCCTCCGCCCACCACCCCCACCTCACGCCCACTTGCCGGTACACGAAGAGACGCCCAGCTATCAGACGCGGTGTGGTAGTGTGGGTGGTAAGTAACGTCGATTGGCAGTACTGTAGTTGATACCGCAATTCGATCACCGGAAGTCAGATATGTTATATATATAAAAAGTTGGCGCCATATACGAACGAGAGAGAGAGAGAGAGAGAGAGAGAGAGAGAGAGAGAGAGAGAGAGATGCCCACCTCCCCGGCAACAGTTCTCACAAGAGTAGAGAGTCATGCGGTTGGTGACATTTCTTTCTTTTTTTCTTTTTCTTTTTCTCTCTATCATTTTTGGTGGCGTCTAGTGCCGGCGGCGGGAAGTTGGGACCCCGCACCCGGTAGTGTTATGGACCACTGTACCGGTTGTGTTATGGACCACTGTACCGGTTGTGTTATGGACCACTGTACCGGTTGTGTTATGGACCACTGTACCGGTTGTGTTATAGGCCACTGTACCGGTTGTGTTATAGGCCACTGTACCGATTGTGTTATGGACCACTGTACCGGTTGTGTTATGGACCACTGTACCGGTTGTGTTATGGACCACTGTACCGGTTGTGTTATAGACCACTGTACCGGTTGTGTTATAGGCCACTGTACCGGTTGTGTTATGGACCACTGTACCGGTTGTGTTATGGACCACTGTACCGGTTGTGTTATAGACCACTGTACCGGTTGTGTTATGGACCACTGTACCGGTTGTGTTATAGGCCCTGTACCGGTTGTGTTATGGACCACTGTACCGGTTGTGTTATAGGCCGCTGTACCGGTTGTGGTATAGGCCACTGCCGGTTGTGTTATGGACCACTGTACCGGTTGTGTTATGGACCACTGTACCGGTTGTGTTATAGGCCGCTGTACCGGTGTGGATAGGCCACTGTACCGGTTGTGTTATGGACCACTTTACCGGTTGTGTTATGGACCACTGTACCGGTTGTGTTATGGACCACTGTACCGTGCTAGGACCCACTGTACCGTTTGTGATAGGCCGCTGTAGCGGTAGAGTACACTGCGGTTGTGTTATGGGCCACTGTACCGGAGGGCAATACCACTGTACCTTACTGCTAAGGCCACTGTACGATTGTGTTATGGACCACTGTACCGGTTGTGTTATGGACCACTGCCGGTTGTGTTATGGACCACTGTACCGGTTATGCAGGACAACTGTACCGGTTGTGATAGAGGCCACTGTATTGGTAGACCAACCTTGTGAGGACCACTGTACCGGTTGTGATAGAGGCCACTGTACCGGTTTGTTATGGACCACTGTACCGGTTGTGATAGGCCGCTGTACCGGTTGTATAGGCCATTACCGGTTAAGAGGGCCACTGCGGTGTGTTATAGGCCACTGTACCAATAGGCCACTGTACCGATTGTGTAACCAATTGGTACCATATAAGGAACCACTGTACCGGTTGTGTTATGGACCACTGTACCGGTTGTGTTATGGACCACTGTACCGGTTGTGTAGGACAACTGTACCGGCTGTTATAGGCCACTGTACCGGTTGTGTAGGCCACTGTGATTGTGTTATGACCACTGTACCGGTTGTGTTATGGGCCACTGTACCGGGTGTTATGGACCACTGTACCGGTTGTGTTATGGACCACTGTACCGGTTGTGTTATGGACCACTGTACCGGTTGTGTTATAGGCACACACAACACAGGAGGAGGAGGGACAGGTATAACAGAACAGGTATGTGGCGAGCGTTGGGTGGCTGGCGAGCGTTGGGTGGAGTGTTTAAGTCAGTATAACTATAGACAGATGAAGGTTAGGTTAGGTTAGGTTAGAAATATTCAAAACCTACCTTAAATTATTAATGGTATCAACATACAATGACTTTTTTCCCTTGCCACAAATAACTTTTTTCCCCTGCGACTATATTTCCGTTCACTGTTTGGGCTGGCGAGTACATACCCTCACCTCACCTGTGCAGCGCCACGCACCTGTACTCACCTAACGAGAACCACAACCCAGGTTTGACTTACTACTACACAAAGTGCCTTCAGATGGACCGAGTGAGTGTGAGTGTGTGTGTGTGTGTGTGTGTGTGTGTGTTTTGATCAATTACGGTACTAACAGATGTACTGATAAGTGGAGACAAATAAGACAGGTGTTTTGTCTTTACCTGTAATTAAAACCTTAAGATCTGAACACAAAAGGTAAACACAAAAGCTGTAAAAGGATGAAGATTCGTCACAAAATAATAACAACAGCATCGGGCAAGACATATTGGACCCTACACCTACACATAATGGACCCCACACCTATACATAATGGACCCACACCACACAATATTGGACCCCACACCTACACATAATGGACCCCACACCTACACATAATGGACCACACCTATACATAATGGACCCTACAACCTACACATAATGGACCCCACACCTACACATAATGGACCCCACACCTACAAAAATAAACTAAA